CCCAAACTGCTCCATTAAGTTGCCACTGTGAGGGAGAAAATATACCTACTTCAGGATGGGTACTTGTGAGCGACCCTGAAAAACAGCACTGTAGGTTTTGATGCAGTGAAGTCAAATGCTGAATGGGTAAACTCAGAGAGGACAATAGCTGCCTTTTTTCCCCCCTGCCACCTCACTGTCCTCTTTCTCTCATTAAAGAGGCTTCTTTAGTTCTTGGTGAATGGTGGGGAACCCCAGGTATAGATTGTCACCCCTAAATCACTTGACTAATGGCCCATTAACAAGCCAAGACTCACATACCTCTAGCTGTGAATGGTTGTGAAACTGCAGGATGAAGGACGACTCACAACCTCAATACTGCTTTACAAGGACGTGATAAATGGTGTGGCAGACCCCTCCTCTGTGTACAGATGGCTGTTTCAGTTTAACATAGATGGCTTCCTTTACCCAGTTGGGTTAGCCAACTGGGCCTTCAAGTTAATTCATTTCATAACAGGGGAATCTCTTTTTTCCTCTCTGCATTGGTAGGGACATTCCCAGTACTGACAGGTTCTGATTGTCCCCAGCTTATGTTCCAGTGGGTGGTGGGAGTTAAACAGCAGGTGTTGGGGTAAGTTTTCTGTAAACTTCCCAGTTGAGGCTCCTGTCCTCCTCAATGTGCATAGGACAGTCAGTATTACCACCAACTTGAATTGTCCCTTACCTTGCAGTTTGACAACCATTACCGCCTCAAGGCATGTGAGTCTTGGACTGTAAATTAGCCATGTGATTTTTTTATTTTTTTTTGGGGGGGGGGATAAATACCTGGGACTCTCCACCAGTCAGTTAAAACCGAAGGAGCCTTTTGGATTAGAGTTAAAACATCCCAACAACACAAAACAGTCCAGATGCCTTTTACTGAAGCACTTGGGATGACCCAGACCTGGATGATGAAGAATCTATACAGACAATCCTGTAAATACAGTTTGTTGTTGTTTTGTTGCACTGTGCGTTCATGTTGAAGTCGAGGCTGTCAGATTCTATATGAAAAACAAAGGCTGAACAGGCCCACTGAGTGCTCATTCCTGTGGCCACCTCACGCCTCCACTGGAGAGCTGCCTGTTGTTCATGTGGACCCAGACTGCCTGATTCCCCATGTTTCCAGTCTTTATGCTAAGCTTACTGCTAACTTCATATTTATTGCACAGACATGAAAATAGTGCTGTTAAATAAGAAAAACTTTTAAAGGCCACATGGAGATTTGCATTTAACATTTTATTACGTCATTTAGGTTGATTTCACTATTATTCGTTCCTCAGTTCCCATCTGTATTATGGGCTTGAGTCAGTGTGAATGGGTCGGCATCGCCTCTGAAGGACAGTTACACCACCGCTTGTCTTGCAATAATTATTGCACATACTTTCAGAATTCAACCGGAATCCCATGTTGTCCACATTTGCATTTGTTTTTTTTTATTGTTTACTGCTGTATTACTTGGAAGAGAAATGTTTCTACGTGTCTGCTTCTTCTTAATTTTTCAGTGTTTTATGAGGGGAGAGAGCAGTCACAATTTGTTTGCCTTTGGTGGAGAATTGTCTTGTATTGTGGCTGTGGGTAGAAATAACAAAAAGCCTTTTATGGGTTTTAAGAAAGTGACATGAGAAAAATTTGATAGCATAAAAGGTTTGTGGTTAGCTTAAAACTATTTTGAAATCTTAGATATATCAATAATGAGGATAAATATAATGCCAAATATTCAGTATTTGTACAGAAATATACATATATAAATATATAATATATGCCTAATTTAAATGGAACTATTTTCCGCTCTTGACCATGTTTCTGTTGTTTAACGTTCCTTTGTCCTTTCCTTTGTCAACATTATTTTATAAGATCTTCAGATAGCATGCAGGATAGTGAAAATGAATGTATTATTTAGTGTTTTATTGCTGGTCAGTATTACAGCATTCTACAGATCAGATTGTGTTTGTAAGATTATTTTAAAATGAGGATTTCGTTTCTAGATCGGTTCATCTAGAAATGAATTGTAAACTTTTTTTTTTTCTAAATGCAAGTTTTTTGAAATAGTTTCAAAAGTTTATATCATTTTATTATTTTCCCTGCTCTATCAATGTGGTTCAGTATATTTTGCCTCTTCTAAGTACTGCTATCAACCATCCGTTGTAAATAATTATGCAAATTAAACTTTTTGAAGAAAACAGCACTGTTGTAAGAGTGCTTTAATTTATCTCTACAAGTACCAACAGGGGGGAGAGGGTTCAGTGATGCAGCTGAATCACAGTTATTACCAAAAAGTTTTATCATCTGACATGACCTCTTCATTGGTTGATGTAATAGTAAATGAGAAGCTTGGCAACACGCAAAACAACTCTCCCAAAACAATGTTGGCCTCCAGTTTCAACTATGATGATTAATGTCAGGGTTGTGGTTCTGTGCATGCTGCTGGCTCACTATCACTCTTTCATGACATACTGGTCTGCCTGGTTCCTGTGCTGCCCAAGAGCTTTCACCTTTAGCTTCTAAAGTCTTAGTCCTGGCTGCAAGTGGAGATGCAACGAAGAGACACAAGGAGAGAGGAGTCGAGGAAAGGGGGCATTTAACAAAATTAGACATCCTCACCTCGGAGTCGTCAATTTAAAGCATAGCATAAGTTAAATATGATGTGTGGCACCGTGGCACCAACTAGCCTGCTGTTGTATTCTATTACCACTATCACATGAGCACGACAAGGTTGATGAAAAATAAAAAACAGTACATATATTTACCTAGAATTTCCTTTACAATATGGCATAATGTGAAAATAATCTACGTATGCTGTACATTTTTATTTATTCTTGTGTTTTTTTTTTACTCAAGTCAAGTGTAAAAGAGGTGTGATACACAAAGAGTACTAGACAAATAATGACATATATAACGATATATTGATATACAGTTGAAACCAGAAGTTTACGTACACTATATAAAAAGACCTGTGAACTTTTTTTTCTAACTGTCTGACATTAAATCCGACTAATTTTTTTTCCTGTTTTTTGGTCAGTTAATTACCAAAATTATTTGGATTTGCGAAATGCCAGAATAATGAGAGAGAAGTTTTTGAGAGAATTTTTTAATGCTTTTTTTCAAAATCAGAAGTTTACACATACTAAAATTACTGTGCCTTTAAACTATTTGGGAAAGCCCAGATGATGATGTCATGGCTTTGGAAGCTTTTGATAGGTTAATTGACAACATGGAAAATCTAAAGAAATCAGCCAAGATATCAGGAAGAGAACTGTGGACCTCCACAAGTCTGGTTCACCCTCGGGTACAATTTCCAGATGCCTGAAGGTTCCACGTTCATCTGTTCAAACACTTATACACAAGTATAAACACCATGGGAATGTCCAGCCATCATGCCACTCAGGAAGGAGACGGGTTCTGTGTCCCAGAGATGAAGTGTTTTGGTGCAAAATGTGCCTATCAACCCCAGAACAAAAGCAAAAGACCTTGTGAAGATGCTGCTGAAGCTGGTAAGAGAGTCATTATCCACAGTGAAACCAGTCCTGTACCGACATGGACTGAAAGGCTGCTCAGAGAGGAAGCAGACATTACTCCAAAAGCAACATTAAAAAAAAAAAGCCATATTACAGTTTGCAAATGCACACAGGGACAAAGACCTTCATTTTTGGAGACATCTTGTGGTCTGATGAAACTAAAATTGAAGTGTTTGGCCATAATGACCATCGTTACATTTGGAGGAAAAAGGGGGAAGCTTGCAAGCCTGAGAAGACCATCCCAACAGTGAAGTACAGGGGTGGCAGCATCATGTTGTGAGAGTGTTTTGCTGCAGGAGGGACTGGTGCACTTCACAAAATAGATGGCATCATGAGGAAAGAACATTATGTGGAAATATTGAAGCAACATCTCAAGGAAGCTAAAGCTTGGGCGCAAATGGCTCTTCCAAATGGACAATGACTCTAAGCATACTGCCAGATTAGTTACAAAGAGGCTTCAGGACATCAAAGCCATTGTTTTGGAGTGGCCATCACAAAGCCCTGAACTCAATCCTGTACAACATTTATGGGCACACCTGAAAAGGTGTGTGGCGCAAGCAAGCCAACAAACCTGACTCATTAACACCAGTTCTGTCAGGAAGAATGGGCCAAAACTCCAGCAAACTATTGTGAGAAGCTTGCAGAAGGAAACCCAAAACGTTTGCCTCAAGTCATATACAATTTAAAGGCAACGCTACCAAATACTAAGGAAATGTATGTAAAGTTCTGACTTTGAAGAAAGTCATAAAAAAATTCTTTCTCTGATTATTCTGGCGTTTAGCAAATAGAAATAATTTTGGTAATCCGAACTGACCTAAAACAGGAAACGTTTAGTGTGATTTAATGTCAGATAGTAAAAAAAAAAAAAGGTTATATGTGTTTTCAGACAGTGTATGTTAACTACTGTTTTCAACTGAATATCATGTACACACATTTGGTAGTCCTGCTCTTGACATGTATCCTCCAGCTGTGTGTCAAACTTCTTTTATATGGCATATGTGTGGAAGGACTGCAGCGAGGATACAGCTGGGCAGCCTCCTCTTCCCTTGAGATGCATTTTGGTAACTGAGGCTGTGCTCCAAATCACATACTGTTAGTTCTTTCTTTTAGTATGTTCTACATTTACTGTCACTCATTGTCTCATCCTTTGTTACGTTTTCACACAGCAAAGGAATTACTAGTAAATGCAAGAACATAAGAGAACAATCTGTGTAAAATGCTCTCACCCTGAACAGTGCCACAATAACTTTTATGTGTTGTCATCACTTATACACCATCACAGTCCTGAAAGGAGGACCAAGCAGCATAAGGTAAGTGTGTATGTGGACTCTGGGTGTGTTTAAAGGTAAGAGTGTGAATTTTATTTTGGATCAGAACAGCTCAGTTAAAGATATCAGAAACTACCAGTGGTAGAATGTTTACTCCTCCATCCCAGCCTCCTGTGTGTTTAATAATGGACCAACAAAATAACTTTTCCAGCACTTTTAATTAAAGAAGTGGTCTTTATTACAGCAAAGAAGCCAAACATTACAGACAAGAATAATTATGAACCATGAATATCAATTCTATACTCAGACTGGCCTCTTATCCAGCTTCATTCAGTAAACTTCAGGGCCTTCAGATTCAGTAAGGACCAATTACAGATATCTGAGGATTTTTTCCTTAGTTTTCCCTTCAGAGTGTAGTTAGGTGGGTTTCCATCCTGTAGTTACTTTATGTTCACACCCCTGTCACTCTCATGTGAGATGGCCATTTGTTTAGTCCAACTGGTAAACCCCATTATCACTGAAGGTACAACAAATTACATTACAGCCTCTGAATTTTCTTTCCCTTCTTTGGGTCAGAACAGAAATCTGGAGAAATGAAACTGAAAGTTGATGTTCCACCAACAGAATACTGTTCTGTATTCAGTGAAAACTACCATCTGGCAATAATTGAAGTTGAATCCTCCAGGAGTACAATCTGTGACTTTTTATCTACAACAGAACTAATGTTCTGACATTGCATCCATCATCTACATCTCTACTGTTCATCCAACAATAGAGCTTTTTAGAGTACTCATGATAGTCTATTTACAATAACATACTTAGGAGTAGGGCTGTTCTTGCTCCAACTAAACGAAGCATACGGCATTTTATTTACAATAAAGTTTTTTTCTGAATCAGTTTGTGCTCAAATAGAAACACATCTGGTATTCGGTAAGCTCGTAAAACCTTATAAGATGCACTCTAATGAATAAAACACAATGAACCATGGTCCAAAAGGTGTTTGAAACACTGATCGTCCATGAGAACGCATTTAACAAGGCCCTGGTTGCGATCAAAGATGCTGTTAAATGATTAGGCACAATAAATGTTTTTGTATCACAGTCCTGCATGTTCCACTCACTAAGCCTGGTTGCACCACTGAGTCAGTGTGTATTCAGGGATAATGGTGAACAGGATATGAGGATGAAGATAAACAGCTTATCCCCACTAAGACGTTAAGAGGGATAGGAGCTATTATCCAAAATACTTTGTGCATATACATGCACTGATGTTCTACTGACCACGAACAGAGCAATGGGCTGTTACACAAATAAACCACATTAACGTCACAGAGATTCATTAAGTGAAAACAAAGACAATACTACAGAATTCCACCTAAATACTGAAAATCTACCTCTAATGCTTTAATATACAGCTTCAATCAGGGATTCTTAAACTCCTCTTCATGGACCCAAATTGACCAGATGTAGGGGGACCACGTATGGGCTCAGTACATCATACTAACCCTCTGAGGCTCCACAACAAACAGACTTGCAGTCCATTTTGTGTCCCAACGTGCGGTTTAAGAAACGCTGGTGGTAGAGTAAACATGGAATGAAAAATGATTGTTCTTACAAGCAATGCAAGTAAACAAACAATAAATACAAACAATGTGCTTTATCCATATAGATATATTTACAAAAAGTCTTTGGCTTATGAATAAACATCAGCTACAAAATAATATTAAAACAAAAGTGTTGGCCACCAGTGCACAAAACAAATGAAGCCTGGGGTCAGTTCACTTCCAATTCTATCCAAGCCCTAAATGGAAACTGTAATTTATCTTTCTTGAGAAAAAATGTTAAATCTCAGTCTTTGCTAAAAGTAAATGAGCTGATTTTGTTGTTTTCAAAAGCTGTTGATATTTTTTGAAGGATATTTCGTGAATTGGCTGAATTGAAAGTGCATTGGGCCCAGCCCTGAAACAAACATGATTAGGCTAATGTCACATGGATGAACAGGTGTTCCATTTTACAATTTGGGCTACAAAGAGGACTTCAAAACTTCTATCCAGTAGATCGGTACATGATACTACAAAAGCAACCAGAAAAAAATAAACTCAGCAGCTCACAATGAGTGCAGAAAACAGAAACAATGATACAGAACACAAATACATTTGAGTGAAAATCCTACGTAACGTTTTTCAAGTTGCCACTTCATGATATAATAAAAATTCTAAAAGCCTAATACTCCCAATGTAAACTCTCCCTTTTGTTTTGTCTCATTGTCAGTGTTCTTCTCGGAGACTACTTTATTTAAGAGCCAAACTTATGACAGATTATTTTCTTTGTCTCTATTCCGTAATCTGACCATGAGCTGTGTGTAACCAATGTAAAATGGGTTCAAAGTGACTACTGAGTACATAACAACGATACATAACAATGTTCTGACTCAGAGTTCAATGAAATGAGCAGGAAAACAAGATGAGGAAACACTGAGTAGAAACAGAAGCATTCACAGAGTTTCTTGTTCTTATACAAAAGTACTGGCTGCAAATATTCAAACATCACCATGATGAGATGCCCAACACTGTTAAATTAGCACGAGAGCAGGAATGTGGGGCCAATGATAACCTTAATTTGCGTTTTATCAAAAGCTGTGGTAGCAGCTTGCAAGGGGAAGGGAGACATCTACAGTGCACATTGAGTACTGCAGCTGAAACAGCACAAAGCATTAAGTCCAGGGGAGCTGTGGTGAGAGGCTAAATGTTTCAATGGGGCCCAAAACATACAGGGGCCCGCTGGCACTCAAAAGCTGTACAATAAGAATAAAGGAGTAACGGGAGTAGCATCTCCTCCTCTGCTGCACTCCTCTTCACCACACTTCCTGTTAAAAGTCTAAACATTTCCCTTTGTTTAACATCACTGTACAAGGAGCCAAATTCACTTGCACCATTTGTAGGGATGTAAAATGGATGCTACAGAACGGCCACCAAAGAAGGGAGTCGGGACCAAGCAAAGGGTCAAACACACAAGAAGTGAACAGATGTTCTCCAGCTCTTCTTCACCTTCTCCTCTCCTGTCCTTGGCTTAGGACGACTCGATGAACTCCAATGCCAGGTCGTAGCAGAACCTATACTGCTCCTGTAGACGGACACAAACATTAAGATCTGCATGGCCACACATTCAGAGTTTGGCTAACACTTGTATGATTTCATATCTAGATTAACAACATGAGTGAGTGTAACAGAGAAAAGACAAGAATAAAAACAAACTGCAGCTCCCATAGAGGTGCTGGACTTTATTATTGCAGTCAAAAATTAGTCCACATTGTGTAAAAATGTGACAGGAGTAAATAAAAAACAAATAACGGCATAAGAAAAGAAGTGCTTGCGGCTTAGAGGGTTAAATACTTAAAATGAGGGTAACTCACTGGAGTATCCACCATGTTGGGTTTGCTGTTCCTCAAGGTTTTTACAGCGTGAAAGACATCAACCACACTCTGTCTCTTGGCCATCTCACACACAATACTGCTGGCACAGAATACTCCACTACGCCCACCTCCATTTCTACAAACACAAAGCAACGCAGAGATCAAGACAAAATGCACAATTTCATATTCCATTTCAAAACTGCACAATATATTCAGTATCGACAGTGTGATGCTGACATGCACAAAAGTCGCATCACAGGAAATGTGATGTGAAGTAAGGCAAATGAATGCATGCTTATCACGGTATACTTTTTTTTTGCTCCTTGCTACAAAAGGAAAACTTGTTTTAATTTTTCATGACTACTCTACCAGAGAAGTCTGGCTAAAAGAACATCATTTACACTGATTCAAATGTTCTTGGGGACACGGAGATTTGCTTAGTTTTTTATTTTATTTAAAAGACAAAGAGTGTGCTGACATGCAGGCCTTTCTAAAAAAAAAAGGTTTTAGCTTTTTTTAAAATAATTTCTTATTTTCAATAATCCTACAAAATCAGCCCGATCATTTTAGAATGATTCCTTCTTTTCCAATGGTTCACTTTTCACTTTGTCAGCAACTTCTAAGCATCATCAGACTCTTCATTCGTCCTGGAAGAAGAGACGTGTCACTCTGAGTGAGATTCATGAACTATTAACATTTTTGTGATTATTACCAACTGGTGCACCATTTCTCAAATTGATTAAAGATGTTTTTGGACCACTGCTAAATGAACCCTTAACAAACAACGCACATTCTTGACACTCAACACTTCTACAGACACACTAAAAAAAGAAGAGACTGTATGTTTGCTATGCTCTGTGTGCACTCACAAGCAATGTACAATGGTTCTGCCCTCTCCCTCCTCTCCCTCACGTTGCCATTGATCGACCTGAAGGATCAGTTTGAGGAAGGAGCGCTTGGAAGCGGGGACTTCTCTATGCCCCGCCCAACCCAGGTACTGGAACTGACGAACCATCAGGTAGCCTTCCTGAGGCTGAAAGATCAAACAGCAGGGACTTAGAGGAACTGATTAAGACAAACAGCAACCTTGTCAAAAAATAACATCAGAGAACCAGAGTTGTGCTGAGAGATGTACCAGAGGAAGATTAATCTGATTCTACTCATAAGATGTTAGTTTGTGGTTAGATTCATTATTAGGATGACTGCAGAATATATACCTATACCACCTTTGTGTTGAATAAACTGTAAAAGAGACTGGAACAGCAGGGAAATAGCAAATGGGTAAATGCACAGAAACTACATGATGACAAGACAGTATAAATGTGTGTACTAACCCTGGTCAGATTGCAGACTCTAAAGAGTCTACTAATAACATCGCAGTCCATCGAGCAGGACATACATTCCACCTGGACTGGACCGTAACGCAGCATGCCCTCCTCTGGCCAGTACTGAGGACAACCCTAAGTAGAAACAGTGTGTTTAGAACAACATTGTTGGTAAAGAACAACGATGGACTTTCACAAAGATGGACAGAAATAAATGGTCAAATGTTTAAGCATTTTTCGTACTATTATTTGTTCATTATAGGTATATGCTTTGTACATATTTTAGATCTTGGTGTACTAAAGACAATGATCCACTGGTAGGCAGTAAAGTTCCTTCTCATGTGCTGACTTGTTATGAAGTTGATGCTGGAGTTCGACATTTCAAACCAATTTTAGCCTGTTTGGCAATTTGTTTCTTTTTCAGAATTACAATGGTTGCTTTCCGTCTACAGATATAATCATATAAGTATTTCCTGTGTGTAGGGGATTTTCCTTAGCAGCTTTAGGTGAGTTTAAGTTTAAAATATTACAAACTCTCTTGTTCATTACTTTCAGCTACAACTGTCAGTGTAGATTGCCTGCTGTGTGTACAAAAATATATACAAAATTGTATCACATTGTAGTTATTGCATTACTTCTCAGCTGAACAGTTAACACTATATAGATTGACTACAAAAAAAAAATACAGGCCTCACAGTAAGAACAAAAGGTGTTGCAGCTTACACTACTGAGATTTAAATCTTTTTAAAATACTTGATATGTTCACCTCTATTTTTGATGACAGACTGAATCCTCCTCAACATGGAGGACATCAGTGTTTTACAAATTTGTTAAGGGAGATGTTCAGTCATTCTTTAGACAGTTTTTTTCTTTTTCTTTCTTTTTTTTTTAAATTTTTGGTGCTCTTTGCTGAAACAAAAAACAAAGCAAGGCAGCCTGGTCCTGGGGGAGGGACCAGACAAAGAGTGATTCAAAGACTCCTGATGAAGATCGAAAATAGGAAAGCCACCAACTCGCCCGAAACAGGGGAACCATAGACTGGTTGTGGTGACGTGGAATGTCACTGAATGACCTGCTTCGCCTGCTGTGTTCGTGACCCAACCCCAGATAAGCGTAAGAAAATGGATGGATGGATGCTCTTTGCTGGAGGGGTTGTGCTCCTCTACCTTTCTCTTTAAAATACCCCAACAGTGTTCTATTGGACTCATGTCAGGCAACACACTTGGCCAGGTCATAGTTTTCAATTTTTTTTTTGTTTAGAAACTCTTGGCAGTGTGCTTTGCATTATTATGATTTTGGAATGTTCCTTTTCTGCCAAGTTTCTGCAGAGTGTCATCCTGTCAGGCAGTATTTTGGCGTATCTACAGACACTCATGGTGCCATCTGTAAATGTTTTCCCACCAACACCTTTTGTTCTCATGCAGCTTTATATTATCACACTCCCACTTCTGTGCTTTACTGTCAGAACTATACATTCACTGTGGTTGTCTTGACCAGGTTCACACCAAACAGGCTGGATCCCATCTGAGCCAAACTAATCTATTAAGGACTAAAGAGTGTGCTTCCAATATTCATCAGGCTTCTTTTCGTGGTATTTTCCAAAGTTTCACCTTGCATTTAAAAAAAAAAAAAAAAAAAAAAAAAAAGGAACACAAGAATTTTCTTCTGGATGCTGTCCATAGATGCAGACATTATGAGCTGCCTTTCACATCATCAGCGCTCACATAAACTCTGATGTCCACTGATAACCCCTGTACTAAGACTGAAGCGCTTGCCCAGCTGTTTTTCAGAGCTACATAGTGCAAGTAGCACATTTTAGGAGGACTGCAAATTTGATACTTAGACTCATTCTATATAAAATCTAATTAGTGTTGCAACTCCGTTTGCATTGATTTTTAGGTAGCCACTGATCTTCCTGTATCATCTTCTTTTCTCTAGCTTTGTGAAGTCTTGCAATCAGATTTTTCAGGCCATTCTTTCCTATATGAAGTCATGATGCAGACAGACACAGCTCATAGGTCCAAAACTAAGAAGATTCTGGTGATCACAGGTAATTTCAAAACTATGCTCATGTGATTAGGCTGATTGGAAATGGCAGGTATTCAGTTCTGTTTGAGTGATCATAGGTTTCGTAACTTGTGTCAGTGATCACAGGTGTATTCACTTTTGTTACACTGAGTTTCAACTCTGCGACCGAAATTTTTAATATAGTCTTTCAAAAGTATTTGTTTTTGATTGTTCATATGAGGAAACAGTCTATGAGAAATAATGCAACTATTGAGAGGAAATACAATTTCAAATTGATTGGCATTTATAGAATACTTTAGAATAGAATACTTTTTTATTGATCCCCCATTGGGGGAAATTTACACGCCACAGCAGCATCCAAAAATATAGAAAGTACAAGAAAATGACAATAATTAAGTAATATGCATCCTGGTGTCTGCACACAGCAGGTCCAAGGCCCCACCGTCAATGTAACATTGTACAGGGGTGTACTTGTTCTTGTTTTATAATGTAAAATAGATGTATGCTTAAAGTAAAATAAAGCTAATAAAAGTTATAATGCTATGTTTATTGATGTTGGGTAAAAATGTGCATGGACGAAAAATGCTTCTCAGAGCACATGATAATTTAATAGCATGAAATTATGAAGTTATAATACAGCGGCATTACCTGAGCCAGGTCGATCTCATTCAGCATCACCAGACTGGTACATCCATAGTCGTAAACTAGACGCCAAAAGTCTTTGACAGTGTTAGGCAAAGGATGCTGGGTAACGATGAATGCAGCAGGCTGTCTGTAGCTCTGCAGAGAAGAGATAACAAAAGTGATATAAGGTATTTTATCCAAATATGAGTCACTTTGTCAACAAACAATAGTTAACAGTAATATAATGATAATAATCCAGGAGCTTAACGCCATGCTTTTAAAAGACATCCTTGAGTGAAACATCTTTATCCTTATCTTTATTATAGTACGTCAGTCTTTCTCTCTTTCATACACACACACACATTTGAACAAAAACAGGAGAGCAGAGTGGGACAGTTTGTCAGATATGACAAAGAAAGCATACTTAAGACGTTATGTTTGGTCAGGTGATCATGCAGTGGACCTATAAACAGTGACGGTCAGGAGCATGCAGATACAAATCAAATATACATCCAGAACATCTACATCTACATTTAAGGGCTAAATTAACTCCATATTCAGTTAGTTCAGGAAGCTAAAGTTCAGCTGTGTTAGTTAAAACATTAAGGAGGGGGGAAAAAAACTCAAGTTCCCACTGACATACTGAACTGACTGAACTGAATGTGAACTGAGCCCAATTCATACTAAATGAAAATGTACAGCCAAATATGTGACATAGGTGTGAATGACTTTGGTGACTGAGGCATTGTCATTATGGGGACAATCTAATGTCAGGGTCAGGGTCAGGGTCAGGTTTAGGACTTAGGATGTAAATGGTATTGATAAACATGAACCTGGTGGCAGAACAACACTGAAGCCATGAAACAAATCCAGTATTAGAGATTTGAAGTGAAATCCCATTACCTGGAACTCTTCTGACAGCTTGGTTAGAGAGAGGCCAAAGGTGAGTAACTAAACTTTAAAGGTAAACTCTTAAAACTTGATTGAATTCTATAAATTTAACAGCAACTACAGTGTTTTGTTGGAGAAAAGCCAGGTTTCTTTCCACACCATGCAAATATTACATTTTGTATTTCAAACATTATTATGAAATTACTCACATATCTCCAGCCCACCCCTTACTATCTTTACTTCCCTCTCTAATGTCTCCAATATTTATTTATTTATTTATTTATTACCAGAGCTGCTAATAAACATTAACTTCTAATTATGACTGAGAATGACCAGATATCGCTATCTTACCTTCAAAATTCTGTTGACTCAGTGACTATGTTTTTTAAGTCATGGTACATGGGCAACACGTTAAGGCTGTGTCAACTGTCACCAATATAAGAAATGCTTGAGTGGTGGTCAGAAAAGCTAGTGGTCTTTTCAGAACCTGGATTTGTCTCTAGCCTTCTGCTGCTAAAACCACAAACACAGCATCACACAAACAGGGAGGGGAGTCTGTCCGTGTGTGTGTGTGTGTGTGTGTGTGTGTGTGTGCGCACGCATTTGTGTAAGTGAGTGTTGTCTGTATAAAATGCACATATGTTTCTCCTTATCATTAATCTTGTACACCCTCTAAAAAGTCTGTACCATTTTCAACAAATATGTGACTGCAGTTTGGGACAACAGACATAACGAGTTTTTGAAAACTTTCACATTGCATGTTGGAAGCAACACATTTACTAATCTAAAAAGCGATTTTCACACATACTCATCAAAAAAGAACACACACAATGTGAAATGTCCCAAACTACTCTAGCTTGATTCGTTGAAAATAACACAACCTTGCTGTATGTACATATAATATGTTACTAACTTACATCCATCAGAGCAGCATTGATGTAGTTGCTGCTTTCTCCATCTATTGTAATAAGGAAGGGTAAGCATCTATCAGGAGGTAGGCCATCCATAAAGCGGTTCTTGTCTTGGTTTCTAGGCAACAATGCAATGCTGCAGTCTTCTGGCTGAGGCTGGGGTGTCACTGAGTTTAATGTCTGGACAGAAAGGGAAACAAATAACATACAAGTTTAGATTTAAAGATGGGCCTCATGGAGATGGAAATCCAAAACGCAACACCGTTGTTCATTTAAAATGTTGGGTTGCTGGTACGCTACAGGCACCCTGTGGAGTTTTTGACCGATATCAGCACTATGGAAACATTGCTAGTTTTATAAGGTTTTACAAGTGGGTTTCACAAACAAGAGGAAAACGGCAGGCAAGTAAACAATACTGGAGTTAAAATACTACAAAAAAATGGCTCTGTGAATTGTTTTAGAAGAGAAATGAGATCTCCCTTTTGGTGAGTAACACGGAATGTAAACAGAAACTTTGTTTACAGGAAAATGACAAGTTTACCTGCACAGATAAACCTTTCTTGTCAATGTTAACATTTCATCGCTCTACTTGTTGTTTCTAGGCTGTAGCTAAAGGACAAAGTTAAATGCTAAACTTCAGAAGTTTTGAGGAAAGCCAAAAATGAATTCAGAAGCTCATTGTTTAACAAAAATATGGCCATTTTATTTTTTTTTAAAAAACTGGATAAAGTAGATACTCATCCAGCTAACCCTAATTAAAAAAAAAAAAAAAAACTTAGTTGGTCTCTAATTGTTTGCAGAATACTTGGAATGAACAGCAGAGGAGTACTGACAATTGTGTATTTGTTTTGTGCTGTAAAAAAAATCCTACAATTTATTGGAACTGATATAAAATCAAGCAGACCACAGTAGCTGTTGTTCTGAGAGAAAAAAAAACAAAAACTTTTTACATCAGCCGTCTAAAAAGTTACAAGAAGATTTGGAGTGACTGCCATTTCAAGGTAAAAGTAACAGATTACAATCAAGCTTTACCTGGAACTCATCCTTCAGATGGGATGAGTTGGTCTGGGAATCTATGCGGATCAGCTCATAAAAAGCCGCTTTGAACTCGCAGACTGGTATGGCTGTTTCTCCACATAGACAAGCCTCAAGGATGGCGTCATGGATGAATATATACTGCTCCTGAGAACATGATTTGAGACAAACATAATATCATATATATATATACATACATATACACATATTTCGCTTTTGGACAAAGATCTTTGTAAACAATAAAACATACACTACTTGTCACATGGATAAGAAACGGCTGTGATACGATATGAAAGTGAGTATGCAGACACTGTGTGTGAGGGAAGACTGATGGGACATGGAGGCATGAATGAGATGAGATGATGACTGCTGAGGATTGGCTGAATAGGAAAACTGTATTTTTTGATTTTTCTGGCAAATGATGGGAGCTTCAATTTAATGAGGAGGCACAGACAGAATTTTGTTTTTGTAAATGTCTGTAATTGTGCTTTCTATAAGACACAAGACATAAAGTGTTATTGCTACGATGCTACAGAGTAATTCTGTAGACATTTTATGATGCAAATATTTACTCTGAAAATTATGAGCAAGACTACAACCTGGACAAAACGTGTGGGAATGTATGGAGCTTCATTCTGACAAAGTTACAAGCTTGTGGTGCAACTTCATCTAAAAATATATATATATACTCTCAAAGTATTATGTATCTAAATTTCTGGAACACAGCACCTTCTCAAATAAAGCTTGCATCTTCCCATAAGTCTGAAAGAGACAGAGAAGAAGCTAGTTTCCTCGGTAAGCTGAACCCAAGTATGAACAGTACTATATTAAACTTGTCTTTACCTACATTGAATACAATCAAACACAAAATTCATTCTCAAAATAGAATGATGCCATGTTCTTGTTGCAGTGCTTGATATTTCATGCCTGATGAGAATGATGATTTTTGGCATGTTTCTAGAGAAACAATGTATAGAAACTCCATGCTGTTTGAAATTTCATAATTAAAAGAGCATTAAGGAGGAGAACAGCTGTAATATAGGTCACTATAATTTGAACCTAAAAGTTTGACTGTTCCTAATGCAGATTTCACTCTTCATGTTTTGTTTAGTATTTACCTGTTGCATTGCAAACAATACAACTATATTCCACTGACTGTTCCTAATGCAGATTTTATTCTACATTTTGTTTAGTATTTAACTGTTGTATGAAACTGTCAGTATCTACTTCTACACAAACTATTATCAGTCCAATCAGTTCCATTCAAGCAGTGAGTAATGAATGTGCTTCCTTCAAGTACAGTTTAGCAGTTTAGTAGCATGCATTACTGTGCAACACAATGTTGTTCTTCAAGTTATTTTCCAATTTAAGAAAAGCGTTTTTCACTCTGAAAGAAAAAAAATATTATGAATTGGCCATTACAGAGCACACATTTTAGGACACAACTTGTATTTTAAATAGAATGAGGTGACATTTTCATGATTGTGTGGTTGATTGATGACTACATATAGTAACTCAGCCTGTACCACGCTAATGGCTGAGTGTAAAGGTGTGGGATTACTATGTCTACTCTCGGAGGTGGATGCAGATGGAGGATGGGTAATGCAGTCACCTCAGTCTGTACCATGTTGATCCTCCTGGAGCGAAGCGCCTTGACACAGTTGTAGATGTCGACCACGCCTTCTCGCTCTGCCATGTCCAGCATGATGTCGATGACTATGAAACAGCCTGTACGTCCTGCTCCAGCACTGCAGAGAGAAAGACACGGAGACATATGTGTTTTACAAATCATTCTTATGACTTTAATTAGGGGAAAAAAAAAATTAGGCATGTTTATTTCAGATGTATGGATGTATGTTAATAATGTGGCACAGAGTATATAAAAGTGTGCCTGTACATATTTTCATACCTGCAGTGGACCACAATTGGTCCTGCAGAGGGTGGATTGGAGATTTTTACTCTGCGGATGAAGGAAAGTAGTCCTGTGGCATGGTACGGAACTCCGTGATCAGGCCAGCCTGTGAAGTGGAATTGCTTGACTTCCCGGACTTCATTGAAACCACGCTGCACAAAGATAAACATCTTTTAGTAAAACTTCATGTTCGATAGCATGTTCCCATTTCTATCAATATGTTCTCTCCACGAATATGACTCAGACGTATTAGTGTAGAGCTCACTGAAGCAGCAAAGACGAGGAGACAAGTGTACCGTTAACTGGCCAGTAAATCAGACATTTATAGCTACAGTTGAGTATTTTGTACTAATTAAAACAATGTTAAATACAAAATAAATACAAAACATTAAAGACTACATGTGACATGGTAACAAAAAAAGATTTTGATGAGATTAGCTACTACTCACCCTCTCCAACGTAAATGTGCGAACCACATATTCAGCAAGAGGTTCAACCTCTACGAAAGTCACCTTGAAGTCTCCGTACACTTCAGCATCATCTGGCCAATACTTATAGCACTTGACCTGAGGAACACAAAAAATTAAGACAAGGTAATAAAAAAGGTTTTGAGGTCTGAATCAAGTGGGTGGCAAAGCATTTCATATATAAAAAAAAAAGTTGTACTTTATAATCAATAAAACATAATGCACATTATTTTTACAGACCAGAACGATCAAATATTCACATGTTTGAAGAATATACAGGGACACTTTACAACACTTTGAGATGATTTTCTTACCAAGCTTTTAATTAACAGATAGTTGTAAAGCCACTTGTAAGTACATTGTCAAATGCTCAAATCGAGAAATTGTTTAAAAGGTTTGGATAATGTCTACTAAGTACTTAAAATAAAAACAGCTAAGCGCTAGGGAAATGACTAACACAGCTGAACTGCACAGCAGAAAACAGAAAGAAGTAAGAGAACAACTTACCCTTCCAACCTCCACCAGATTGGTTACCATCACGATGCAGGCTGACTGTTCCTGCCACACCATCCTCCAGAAGTCATACACTGTCTCATGAACAGGACCTACACACAGACACACAATACTTTTGTGACTTTTTATTGCTAAAAGTATGCCAAAAGCATGATGAAAGGGTCTTGATATTAACATCCTGTAAAACAACAGTTATACAGAACGTGTATTTTAGCATGTATTTGACAACATTGTAGCATCTTACCCTGAGTAGCAATGTAGTGACTGGGCCTCTGGTATCCCTGAAAAAACAACACCACAGTCATCACAAATGTATAGATTTTAACAGTGAATGTCCACTTTTTAATACAAGGACACCACGCTCCTGGAGTACCTGCATTTTTAATGAAAACAGCGCAGCAGAGTTGTGCACACTTTTTAATAGTAACTGCCGACAAACAGCCGAACATGCCGACACCAATCATCTGGCCAATCATTTTAATTCCGCCTGCTTATCCACCCTTGACGTCATTGCTCCACTGAAGCTTAGAACCAAGTCCTCAAACAAGAAGTAGCCATGGATCAATGACAACATTCGCAACCATAAAAGGGAATGTAGGAAAGCAGAGCGTAGATGGAAGAAATCAGGTCTCCAGGTGCATTTTAATATTGTGAAGGATTTCTGGGTTTCTTTTAATTGTAGGGAAAAGCATGGAGGCGACACTATTTTTCTGAGATTTTTATCAATCAACACAACCCCAGGTTTTTATTTAAGACTGTTGATCACCTGCTGAACCCAGCTCCTCCTAATGTCCCTGCCAATTCAGATGCTGACTGCGAAATGTTTTTAATCTTATTTTAATGATAAGGTGGAGTCAATCAGAGCCTCGATTACCCCCAGTGCCTCGTTTAATGACGGTTTTACCAACAAAAAGAAATTTTTAGCCAGTTTTATCCAATAACCCTGTCTGAACTTTTAGAAGTGGTTTTACGTACAAGAGTGTCTTCCAGCCCTCTTGATGTGATACCTACCAAGTTTTCAGTACAGGTAATCGAAACGATTGGACCCAATTTGCTCTCTGTTTTTAACAGCTCCTTGGATACTGGTTGTGTCCCTGATTATTTTAAGACTGCATGTGTGACGCCACTGCTGAAAAAGCCTGGGCTGGATCCATCTCAGCACCAGAACTATAGACCAGTATCCTAGCTACTTTTTATTTTAATTTAATATTAAAAACATGAAGCCTGCTGCAAGGAATCTCGGCATCTGGTTTGATTTTAACTTGAACTTTGAAAAACACACCACAAAACTTGTACAGTCATGTTTTTATCATCTGGACTAATGCAACAGTCTTTCTACGTGTCTTAATCAGAAATCCCTGGACAGATTACAGACAGTGCAGAACTCTGCTGCCAGGCTTTGAACCAGGAAGAGGAAACATGAGCACATCACACCTGTTTTAGCTCTTTTACATTGGCTGCCAGTACATTCTATGATTGATTTTAAGATTTTATTAATTACTTTTAAAGCACTCAACGGTCTCTGTCCAATTTACATTGCCGACCTTTTAACACTGTACTCTCCACCACGCTCTTCACAATCCTCGGGCAAAGGTTTTTTAACTGTCCCAGAGGCACGGCTGAAAACAAAAGGGGACAAAGTGTTTTCAGTCCGAGCGCCAAGGCTCTGGAATGACCTGCCCGAGGAAATCAGGTCGACTAATTCTGTGCTCTCTTTTAAGTCACTTCTTAAAACACATTTTTATCAGAGAGCTTTTCCTGATTTTATTTAAGTTTTAAATTTGATGTTCTATAGCTTCCTGTTTTATTTGTGTGCTTTCTGCTTTTATCAATTAGTCTGTGTGCTTATTGTATTTTAATTTTTAATTTATTTTTTATTTAAAAGCACTTTGTAACATTTGTTTTGAAAAGTGCTGTATAAATAAAGTTTATTATGATTATTATTATTGCTATTATTATTATTGCTATTATTATTATTCTACTATGCGCTACAAATGTCTACATGAATTTTCAAAATGCAAAAAGCCTTTTGCATGATTGAAGACATCAACCGTGCAAAATAGTAACTGTCTATGTTCATTAAAGTCTCATCATGATAATAGAAATTTTAAAAATACCTGACATCACCTTTATAGCTAAAGCTAAGTGTGCTCTATTACAACTGTTGATTAGGTTTTCCTAATGGCAGCAAGAACATATAAGGACTATGCACTGGCAGCCTTTACAGCACACACTGGAATGCAAGGGAGAGTAGTGGGAATGCAAGCTGAGCGGAAGTCTTTCATGCAGTAGAGGCCCCAGCAACTCAAAATAGATGTCATGACTTGATGCATGTAACAGCTGATGCTCAAATGTATGTATAGGTGAACAGGTGTAAAGGTTGAAGGGCATGAATGACAGAATCCACAGTGATACTTACATCCCTGTACAGCCAAATCTACAGCCCAAGCCACAGGCAGAAAGAACGAGTGGAAGAAAGAAAGAAAGAAAGAAAGAAAGAAAGCACAACAATGTCAGTGAGTGTCAATCAGAAAAAGAAAAGTTGCATTGACATAATGGGAGTTTGAACAGGACATGCAGAAAAAAATATGATCCAAAACTCCAAATTAGACTTAATAGAATGGACACTTCCTGATAAACCACCCTCAAGTGAAGGCACATAACAGTATTTAGTCAAAAAGAGACAGAGGCTGATATGTTACCATCTTATTTAACAAAAATGACAGATATACTGCAGTTTCAGCGTTCTGTCTTAAAGTTGTCGTTGTCTTCTGAGTACAGTCAAAATTCTGTGACAGCCGTCTTAGTGTATCCATAAAAGATTAGCTGGGTACATCAGGAAGTGTCAACTCTATTGACTCTAATTCTAGCCTAATGTGAGTGGTGGCATGCATGAAATAGTTTAAATGACAGTAAATAATAATACAGAAAAGCATGCTCGAAGCATATTAGCATTTAAAAAGCACAATGTGAGTAGTAGTGCCTAACATGCAGATGTTTGTTGAAAGATGAAAAAAAGAGTGGAGAGGTGGAGGTGGAAAAAGCTCAGTGATGAACAGATGTAGATTGTGTCATGGACAAACAGATGAATGTACAAACTACAGATGAAACTACAAGATGGAAAGAAGGCTTTTGTCAGTTACTGTTTAACATTATGGGAAATAAGTTGATGATTCTTTCCAAATGCTAAATATGAAGCTACCACCAACACTTGATTAGCTTATCTCTTCCCAAACACCAATTCAGCAATCTTAGCTTTGTCTACTGGTAACAAAATCGACTGTTTATACGCTACTCTTTAAAGCTCATTCTTGAACAAATTAGATCTTGTTAATTTTTTACAAAAAAGAAAATCTAAAAATTATCTAAAAATTATGAATTGGGTTTAATGGTGGGTTGTGTGCCAGACTATTTCTTGGTCAGGTACAGTAACTTCCTGAAGCTACACAACGTTTTTTGAAAGGGTTTTTTTTCTGTCCCTCTGCATTTCTGCAAATTCTAGCTAAGTCTACTAAATTCAACTGATGACTAACAATCTGCTGTCGTACTTAATTTGGTTCATGTCAAGATAAATCAGTAGGTTCAGGGTGAATGAGTGAATTGATGGAAAGACTTGGAAGAAACACAGCCAGACTGACACCTGAGAAAAACACATGTACTGTATGTATGGTGTGTTTTCAAGGTGGCTAGATGCATAAAATGATACAAAGGATGACCAGTAGACGCAATAAAGATATAGAGGCCTGACATACGAGCGAGGGAGTGTGGTTTCGTTGGTTTCGTTGGGAGCCAATAGTAGCATTCGATGCGTTTCCACTTACATCGATGTAGTTGGCGTTGATGTAGTCGGAGGATGGGTCGTCTTCTATGGGCTGGAGAATAACCCTTGAATGGTCATCTAAAGAGAGACAATGTAAAACAATGTTGGAGGATTCAAAAGAGACAGAGGAAAGACATGTTTATTGCTTTAGAGTAAAAATGGCAATGGTAAAGCTACTGAAAATGTCTAACTACAAGTGACATAGTCTTACATGAGTACACTATTTTCTAGGAAATTTAAACTTGTGGTTATTTCAAGGAAAAGGGTTCTCTGTTTCTTTTTTGTCGCGGGCAGAGTTTAACTGGAAAAATTTTTATGTCATGTCCTTCTGTGCACTAATCAGAATCTGGCAACATTTCAATATAATCCACACAATCCTACTAAAACTCATTATATTATTTTTTGAGTTGATTTGTCTGTACATGTTTTTAAACCATCAAATACAATCATCAGGTCTAAACAACAGTATGCATACAAATATAATGATGTCAATATTGAAGGGTTAAAATACATTAAAGCATAACCGTGTCCCAACATTTCAGGTCAGCCTGCCACATAACTCTTCTGTCTGTGACAGTAAAGTCTGATTATTTGAGTAAATTTTACTCGTACTTTGTGAGTCTGAGGTCATGAGAGTACAGATAGGGGCTGTGCAAGGCACGGGTTGAAAACTAATGTATGCTGATTGAGTTTTTGCAGTTACTGTTCATTGGCTCTGGAGCAGGTTCTCTCAAAATCTCACATTAGCCAAACACAGTTTTATTTATTTATTTATTTGTTTGCTTTTGGTCTTGTCTTGTACACTTAAATCTCCCTGTTAAAATACGCTGTTTCCATCACTTACCCTCTTTCTTCTCTATTGTCTTCTTCCTGTAAAGTAATTCCTTTGTTACTTATGTCGTGACAAGTACAGAAATAAAATTTGATTGCTTACATGCTATAATGTTCCCATAGCGGTTTTTGGTACGATTCTGCTCTTTCTTGGCGACGTCCCAGGAGGCCGATTGGCCCTCGAAGAAGCTCTGTATCACCAACAACGGAGAAAAAACAGAAAGAAAATTACATGTCATGAATTCTTAAAAATATAAGTCCAGCACAATAAACATGATCAGAAAGAAGTGCTTAATTTTTATTTCTTTTGCTCTATTAGTTTTATTCCATTGGAACATAAGCATTAAGATAATTCCGTCTGGACACAAAAACAAGAGGACCATAAAAAAGGTTTGTGGCTCCTGGATTGTTTAGTCAATAAGGCAGAAAGTACCCTCAAATTAAGAGGCAATTTAACTCTAGTAGTGGTTTTTATCACTTTAATGTGAGGCCAAAACATCAAATGAAGCAACATTGCTCTTCACAATAACACTTTTATATTGTTTTTTGCATTAAAAATGTATCAACCAGTGCATTACAGGATCAAAAGAAACACTTTGGCAGCATACAAGACTGCTGCTACTTTTCTGCTTTTGCAACTGTAACTAACCTGGCGCCTAATGCTATTTTAACTACTTACAAGCTCTACCGAAAAGTTCTAATAATACAATCTTACTTCATATTCTTCCTTGAAGCCATAGCTGTCAGACGTTTTCATTAAGTTGATATGCTGTAGGAGATCAGCCACTCGGATGGCAGGGTGGAGTTGTCCTGTCTGATAAGGAGATTCAGTTCCTTCACAGTGATACCGAGGAACATCCAGAAGCCTGCTGTTCTCTGCTGCAGAGCCACTATGGTTCTCATCTATAGGAGGAGAGAAATTAGGTGAGGTTTGCTCAGTTCCATCACTGCTTAACTTTGTAGTGACCCGAATGCAAAATTATGAAAATGAGCCCCAAGATTTTCTTATCAGCTCAAAGCAATAAAAAATTCAGGAGGAAGTTTCAGTATGGCTCTGTAAGCTAAGCCAGATAAAGTAATGTATACATATTGATTTGAACACTAGAAACAACACCCAAAATCTGTACTACCGTATGTCTCTGACACTACCAGAAAAATACTCCATTTTTATCGAACCTAAGAAGTACTTAGCATTTTGGTTTCATTGCTTATACTCACCTGTGATTGGAACTACGTGTAAAAGCAGCAGAAAAAGAAAAGAGTAAATGGTTTTAGTCAAACTGCAGGATAAGGGGATTTGTTGGTCAAACTCTAAACATGAAGTAAAATAAGAACTATGATGATTTAAAAAAAAAATAAAAATAGTAGACGATGTCACAAAACAATGAAGCATGGCCAAAACACCACAGTCCTTCTAAAATGACACTAAATAACATGGACATAAGTAAGTCATGACCACAGATATACAAGAGACATTGAAAAACAGGATGTTTACCTAAAATGAGCTCTTAGACTGTATTGTGCTGGGAGTCCTCTGCTATGCCATCGATTAGTATTATAACTCCCTGTACACAACTACATTACTAACAAAGTGAAAAATGTATTTTGTTTTACTATTCCAAACTTTCTACACCTTCCAAATCCATTGCAATAATAAAAGTACACTGAATACATTATTTGTTATACGTTACCGCTATCAAACTCTCTGAACCTTCAAAACTGTATGAAACATTTGTCCCTCAATATAGATAGAAAGGTCTAGGCTTAATTGGCACTTGTGATGATAACATAAGCATCTATGATACAATAATCTTTGTATTTTGGAAGTCTCTACATTTTAAAGTACATAATTCACTTGTAGTTAATTAACACGGTCAAATTGTTGCAGAACTTCCACGTGAGCATTTTTGTTCTGTTGGAAAAATGTGACTTGACAGTAGTAATATAACACACTGACAGGTTGTATAATGGCGTAGCTGGGGGTTGCAGTGAAAGCAACTGATTTCATCTTCACCACTGTTTATTAACTGACACTGTTTATTTCATCTAACTGATGCGTTTCTCTGCTCTCAGGACATGTTAGCTCATTACTGATTGTTAAAGGTTTGTTAAGCCCTCATCAGGCCAATTAACAGTAAACTTGACCCGACACTGCCTCCTAATTCGCTACTTCCCGCTACTTCTTCCCCCTCTGTGAAGTGATTGGCCAAGACAGATTGTAACTGCAGCCTTCACTCCAAATTAGGAGCTAAGGAACAGTTAATTAACACAGTTTGGTGGCATTGTGGATTGTAGAGCCCTTAAGGGTATGTTAGAACTCCACATCATGCTGCAATGTCAACACTAGACTAAACTAAAGATAAACACATTGTAGCGCAACACTGGAGCCGCAGAAACATCCAACTTGGCAAAAGCTACAGCGTTCTCGATTCAGACACTCAGACTGGGGCATCAGCAACAAAACAAGCCTAGGGAATAACACAGATGGTAGATACTCAAGCAGACTTTTGGATCCATTGAACAGAAAAACTTCTGCCAAAGACACAGTGCTGTAGGCACTAAGCTGTTCAGTGTTGTCACAGATTTAATCTATAGTCATTTTGCAGTGGCAATGTGACAAACTGTCTCTCTCCTTTAAAGCTTCCATTTCTGTCATTTTTGGGACACAAAATGGCATGCCTTAAAACAACACAAAGCTGTGGAAATAATGAGGTCTCTAAGGGAGAATGATGGTAATTACTGTGAATATCAATAACTCTCAGTAGGAAACAGAAACCATAGCTACAATTGGGAGTGACTGAACCCAAGGAACACAGAATGACAGATGATATGCTTGGCTGTTTGAGTTTGTAATGCCAGACACGTATTGTGCAGAACGCTGGTAATAGGTGGCAAAAAATATCAAAGATAAATAATCAGATTTACCATGCTCACATATTTTAACCCATTACACAACTGCATAAACCTGGCACTCCTAATTGTAGGTCAACGTCATGGTACAGAAACCTCAAATATACCAAACTTTGGATGAACACAAACAAATGTCAGAGGTCAAAGAAAAGACATTACACTTTGTGATGGAGACTTTAACTACATTCAACAGCCACAACTATGAACATTTTCACACAAAACTGAGGTCCTGTGTATGCAATAACGCGCAGGGACATACAGGTCAGGGCTACAAGCACAGGGGCTGTATGATGATGATGGGTGATCACTACAGTGGTGGTAAATGTGACATATCCAAGCACGTCAGAAGTCTCACCTAACACAGCAGTAGGAACCAGAGGATCGTTGGGCACTGCAGGAGGAAACATGGTGAGGAAATGTTTCGCAATTTCAGATTGCCTCAAACATAGATGATCACCACCAAAACGCTACAAAAGAGTCACCAATTCTAGCAAAACTATTATACTACTTTCTGATTTCTGTCACATCAGCAGTTTCTCTTCTTTACACATATGTCTTCCACATGCATCTGTTCTGCACTCCTTACTTCTGGAGCTGAACTGTAGGATTAGCTGACTGACAGAATGTTAATCAGCAATGGTTTTGATAATCAAACTATCATTTGAAGAATTTTCCAGGCAATTATATCAAGCTTAGCTTTATAAATGGAATATTTATGGGGTTTGTTGGACAAAACAACACATTTTGGAGGCATAACGTTTGACTTTAACTGAAACAACTTGAAAACGTGAAAAGAATCATGAGTTGTGACTCATCTGTAGCCTCCCTGTTAGTAAGAACAACATTGCAACCTTGTAACTATAAAATTCAAGTCTCATCAGTATGAACGGGTGAGGAAACAGATTAAAGTATCTGATGTGTTAGAGAGGAACTGAAAAAAACACACACCAAAATTTCAAGTTTTCCCTTTAAACACTTTTCTTGTACTTGAGGAATAATTGAGTTTATGAACCTACATCTGTTGTTGTAGTTGTGAGAGTCCATAAATGTCACAGCCATTGGGTCTTCTCCATGCAGAGTGCTCTGGTCAGCATAACTGCGGTCCATAGCATTCACCATGTGTGTCATTTCTTGACGTGTTGTTCCAATGGCATCTTTACGTTTTTTAGCCAGTTTCCTGTTAGGGGCAGAGAAAGACATAGTCAGGCATCATACAAACAAGCATGCAAGCATCAGCTAGCCAGCAGACCACAGCCTTTCAAAGAAAAGTCTCTAAAAAGTACAAATATAGTATGTTTTATGTATGAAGTAGATTGTATTGTGTCTTTCTTTTTGGCTGGGGGCTGCTAGCTGCTGACTCAAAATGCAAAGTTCAAAACCAGCGAGGAAGAAATGGTGAAAAGAAGAAAGGTGGGGAGAAGAAAAAGAAGAGAACAAGCAAGGAAGGTAGAAGAGAGGCATGTATGTGAATTTACCAGGTTTAGCTATAGGAGAAAAAGGAAAATAGCATCTAATACAAACCAAGGAAAATGCCCTTTGATCTACAAGTAGCAATAGGAAAACCTGTTATCAGCTTTGGAACCATAAAGTTGTCAGATGAAAGCCCCCCACCGTTAGCAACATTTTTAGTAGTCTTTAACTATTTTTGGAAATTTGTGAACTTTATGCTTTATCAATCTTACTAAAATGAGCTTGAAACTGAGCTTTCAATAGGACTAACAAATGTTGAAAAAGAGAAAAAAAATATGGCAGGAATATAAAATATTTTGTTTTCATCTGACAGCAATGATGAGGAAAATCGCATTAAAACAAAAGTAGGGGAATGACTACCAATCAATAAATAGAAGCCAGAGGAAAAACATTTAGTAACAACAATTGTCATCATACAAGTAATAGGATTTCAAGCCATATCAAGAATTTTCCAGTGTTCCTTTCAGGAAAGAAGGATTTCAGAGGTACCTGATTTTAATCTAACCCTCTATTTTCCTTCACAGGCTGCTGTACGTTTAAGAATCAAATTTCTTTTGTTTTTAGGTACAGCAACAGAAACAGCAAACACAAAATGTTCTCTTTCAAGAGACTGCTACCAGGTAAACAAAAATAACAGTCTAAAATCAAAACATCAAGGTATCATTTTCAGATATAACTCTGCCCATGTGTTCACTTCATGAAATTGCGGGGAAAGTAACTTTAGAGGATTTAATATGCTGAGCAGGACAGTGCATGCAGGAACAGTATGCACCCAGAGCCATAGATGTACATCAGTTAGGACAACAGCTCTACCACTAAACAAACATTTTCACAGCTTTACATGGTCTGATCAAGACTTTTTTTTGTTCTTTTCAGTGCAATTTGAACCCAGACATAATTATCTTTTTTTTTAAATACTGTCGGTAGCTGCAACACGAAAAACTTCCAGTTTGAAGCGATGACGTCTGGCATGTTATATTGATTTACAAATCCATTTATGATTGTTGTCAAACTGATACAATTTACAGCTCTGACTTCTTCCCAGAACTCGTACAGAAAGCATGCTGTTTCTTGTGTATATTTTACCTTTTGGCACCAATGTACACCAACTCCACCTCTAAGACCACATACACACATACTCATACACTCAGCGGAAACACAAATGTAACTGCTGGCCAGCTACATCTGATCGTGCATGTTTGTGACAGAAATATCGGTTGTCTAACAGGAAGCAAAACCAGAAGAGAGGCATATATATGTATGTACAATATAAACTACTACATATTTTGCATTTGTACTGGATTTAGAGTATCTAACCAGGGGCCAAGGAGACAGAGAGAAAGACACAGGTGGAGCCATGATCTCACCTAGAAAGGATGTCTATTGGCGTTTTTTAAACATGCCATTATTTTTTGAAGGTTTGATGTTTAAAATCAATTTCGGAACTATTTTAAAGCGCAAAATCTGTTTCTGAACATGCACTAATATTGTCTGAACATGTTTAATCATTTAAATTGTGGATGCATGCAAAGACACCCTGCAATTCTCTATCATTAAGCAACAAATCTAAAGCATGGCAATTTCCTCTCATGTAAAAGCTCCTGTAAAAAGAACTCAGCATTAAAAATACAGATAAAAAAAAGTTAGGCTTACTATATTAGGTGATAGTAAATACATCTATTTTATGTATGTGGTGACTTCTGGACAAATGGTGCTGATGAATACGTGTCAAAAAAATGCGCTTTAATCTGTTTCGTCAATCCAGCATTAAAATGGTGACAACTGTTTGTACGAGCAGTGCAAATTATCGATTCAGGATCTATTTTCGTCACAGCCAGCAAAAGACACCAATTAGTTGAGAAGAAAGTACCCACAACAGAAGAAAAACCTTCATAGGAACTACTGACACAAAATCAGAGGCCATGTGTCCCAAAAAAGAAACCAACCGCTTCAGATTCACTGATAGGAGAGCATGATACCTGTGACTTGATGGGCAGATGGATGATCACATGACTACATGCACACAAAGAGCTACAAGTCACAAGTGCAGCATTCTTTTTTCAAATAACACGCTTTGGCCTGTGTTCCACTTTGGCCTGCTTTGTTCTGGTTTCTGGCCAACTTTGGCCTTCATAAGCCTGCTTCAGAGCAACTTTGGAGCATGTAGAGGAAACTGGGGCCGAGGTCAATTCACTATCAGTTCAGGCCTTTAAATACATTCTAATTCAGCATTCATTTATTTCAAATTTTTAATGACAACAATCAGCATTCTCTTGCTAAAACCCATTTTCAATATCACTAGGAATGTTTAAATAAAGGAGTTCATTAAAAACCTGAATTGACTGACATGAAAGTGAACTGACCCCTACCCTGGCAAGGCGTCAATGAGGATGGCTTTGGCTGGTTGGTCGGTGCTGAAAATGTGTTTCGTCTTGAAAAAAGTATACTGCATCTTTAAAAATAACAACAACTAGTCACTAATAATTCACCCAATAAGATAACAGCAGCTGGGTGAGCTGATTGTTGATTGGTTGTTTACTTACAGGTAATAAGAGTATGAATAGTAGGTCCTCCTGGGGTTGTGAGCCAATCAGAAAGCAAAGAATGAGACACAAGGGAATATGCAAATTAGGACAATATTGTCCTGTCTCAACCAGTAACAACAGAAACAGAAGAAAACACCCTTTGATTGCTAAAACTTGAGGGTCATGCAAGGGGGTGCCATAATAGCTGTGGGCCATAATTCTTTAGAAAAAGGAAAAATCCAAGTTGAATGCTACATACTATAAATGCTAAACACTACAAAATAAACTATGAAACTTGAACAACAACTACTAAAATAATACGGAAGTATCAATATGAACCTAAAGACATGCAGTCTTTCTCTTCATTAATTTAAGCGTCATTCTAAAAAAAATAATGCGATTTAAAACTACATTTACGGGAACGGGATGGCCCGGATTAGAGATTTAGACACATCAGCTGATGATCTTTTTCAACTCACTCCTATGAATGTTAAACATTCAGTCAAAAATCATACGAGGCTATCCAATCTGTAAGACCAAGTAGCCTGCTTCCTGTAAAGCAAGCATGATGTCATTGCAATGTCATCATGTCCCTCCATTTTAAAGATGCAGTATTGTTCAAAGTCGTAAAGGTTTGATGACAATGAAGATTGATCTCCCCAGAAACCTTTATGGAAGAGGAATCTACTGAATAATGTAACCTCATGCTTGTGATAGTGATATACACACAAATATTTACATAATATTCAAAACTATTCTCAGTGCACTTCAGCTACATCACTTGTCAAAGGTATATTCCAGTTCAGAGTAAATAAGTCACACAAATGCATGTCATGCTCAAAACAAACTTATGTTCCACCTGAAACAAGGTTTTCAGAACTTGTTTTAACTTGCTGAAGCAGATGCTGAGTTAATTATTGTTTGTGGCTGCGTAGCTGTCTTTTAACAAGATGTATTTGTAATTTACAGGAACACTCACGCAGCCCTTTGTATTAGCTACCTAGCATATTTGAAATTGTATAGTTCAAATGCAGTCGAGCTTCACAGTGGCTGCAGTTTAGCAGCACAACAATAACAAACATCCAATCCAGTCCCAGTCAACAAGAAAAAATGCTTAAGTCATGAAAAATGGTAAACATGTAACTCACTGGCCGGATATTACAAAGGTAAACATCCAGCAAATTATAAGTAGGGGAACAGGTAGCTAGAGTTAAAGCTCAGGTCTTCTTGTTACCATTTACAATCAAACTTGCTCATCTCAGGGACTGCAAGAGTAAATTCCTCTGGTAATGAGGGTTCCTTACTGGCTGTAATTTACTGTTTGCAGTTGGTGACTTGCTGAGTGAGATCATGATTGCTTGTTATTCAGACACTCTTTTCCTGTTGCCTCTGGCACAATGCAATACTCCAATGTTAAGGAGAGATCACTTCCTGATGTTTCTTAAAATGACAATTTATTTATTTTTCATTTTTTATGTGCCCAAGCTATGTGGTGTACAACAGGTAAACCAAGGTACTTATGTTGATATTGTTCCTGTCCCAAGATGAGAGTTGAGGTGGAGCTATGTGATCAGTACATTTGTTTGTCTCTATGCTTGACTGTCTGTTGGCAAGATTATCCAAAAACTACTAAGCCAATTTTTTTGAACAAGTCCTTGAAAGTAAGAACTCAATAAATGTTTGGTGTAGATTCGGACCATGTTCATCAAAGATAGAACATTGGCCTTGGGAGAGGATGCGGTCTCCAAGTGTCCTACTTTGTTGAATGTACAAGTCTTGAGTATTGAGAGAACACTGTCAATCATGTCTCTTTAATGATAAATCAAGTTCCCTGAACACCAGACCAGGGGAAGAATGACATGTTGAGCAAAAGTTAATTTCTACACGTGCACATTCTTGTGCATGTAGATGCACACATATGAGCACATAATCCCTGAAAAGAATGAAGATATAATTTGACCTCATGGAGACTTACACTCCTTACAGTTTGATAGCATGCAGCTATTTCTCCCCACTGCTTTACAATTTTTTTTTAACATTGTCATGGATGTTAAAAATTAAATTCAGTGTCTAATAATTGAAAAAAATATTTTCTGACAATTTTCATATACGACTAGATATGTCCTTAGATATACCATGTGTCTGAGACGACACTAAAACCAGCAGCAGTGTTAAAGGCTTACATCAGTGGTTGATGAATACTGCTGCTGCTATGTACATATACACATGTCTCACTGGAAATGGATGTTGAAAACTGGAAATCAAACACTGTATAGCACATCATAGACATGCAGTAGTCATTAGATTCTTTCCTAAATTTTCAAAAACAATACATGTGCTTACTAGGTTTGCAAACAAAATCTCACCTTCTCTACCAACATAAAACAGTTTGCTCTGATGTCAAAAAACTTAATTAAACCAACAACAACAATATATATATATATATTATTTAGCTGTGAATCGCACTCAAGCTGGCATTCAAATACTGTAGCTGTGCTTAGGCACCACATGGTGGAGCTCTGCACCAAATTAACACAACACAAACCCAACTGTTAAACTGACACAAAGACCAGCTCTGGTTATTCTCAGTGCTTTTCTGCAGTCAGACAAAGTCAGGTATAGCATAAAATTTTCTTTCTTAATAATATCTGAACAAAACAAATTCAAATGTAAAATCTAGTAAAACACAACACACTAAACGTGAAATTGCTCTAGAATAAAACCTAAACTTGCAGTGTGGTGCCGTGGGCTATGTGTGTACACCAGTGGCCTAAAATAATTAAACCACTTTTTTTTCTCTCTTTTTAATTTTTAACTTTGTCAGCTCTGGCAAAACTTCCTCTTCTGTGTATAATGGACCTCAAGCTTTGTTACTCTCTGCCGCCAAAGTACTTCATACTGTTTTGCATTTGATGGGTTTATTACGAAGTGACATTGACAATAATCCATGCATAGTAAATTTTCTCATTTCAATCTTGCTTGAAAATCTCTCTCACTGTCTTTCTCTTTGATACTCTCATTTGAGTCAACTCCTTTCTGTGGTTGTTCATCTAGTTTGATCCAACAGATGTAAAAGAAACAATAAAAAATGGTTCTGAAGGGAGATCAACGTTTAGAGTGGATGGATGGAAGATGGTGTTTCTACAGCAAGTATTGGACCAACACACAACAAGAGGATGGATTTAGGAGCACATTTGTATCTGTGTGTTCTTGTATCTGCATGCACATTAATGTGCACATCCAGTGTTGGTCATGTAATATTTGCCCTCTTCTTTGAACTCCTCATCAGAACTGCTTGAGTGGGTGCGCCTGTCACTCACCTCTTCTTGACCAACAGGATGGCTACCAGCACCAGCAGTATAAAAACGAGAACACCGGCACTTATTCCAGCGATTTTCACCACACGATCTGTCTGTTTAGCAGGGTCAGGGATGACTTCTGGCTCCTCTGTAGCACCTAAGTATAGTAAAAATAACACAACATCATTATGGTCGTAATACTACTGTAACTGTTGATAGTGAGTGAGAACAAAAATACATAAAAATACAGATACAACACAGATAATTGTTATATTGTGTTTTTTAAAAACCGTGCACTACTTTAGAAAGCTGCAAGGATAAATGCCAGAAAGGTAAAATCTCAAGTTGTAGGTGAACAAATAAAGGCAAAGCAAGTATATTTATACAGCACATAGAGGCAATTAAATCTGCTTCATGTAATTAAAAAGAACAACATCCAAAAGAGAAATAACAATATATCAGTAAAACACCAAAAAAATATGAATCAAAGGAAAACTATTGCTATATTAGAAGCAGCTCAAGCAGTGCAAAACTAGCGTGGAAGTCTTGGAGCTCAATCACAGACACATGAAATTGAAGGATGTGAAAAGTAGATTGTTTTCTTGTTTTTCCCTTGCTTTTATCAGTTTTGTTTTTTAAGTGGGTTTGCTGAGTTAATGTTTGGTGAACAGCAGAGGGAAGAAAATGTGTGACTGTGACCCATGAAATATACAACCCACCACAGTACTAGAAACTCTTCAAGAGGTTGCTTTATGCATTTGTACTGTTCACATTGTGGCCATTGCTGTTGGACCACTAAACAAACAAACAAACTCGCCCACCACCTGAGGAATTTACAGTGTATTCTACAGGCATCGTAGAATGTAGATTTTCCAATATATTTCTGTTCTATCAAAAAAGCAAAAGCTCTCTAGCTTTGAAAACAGCCATTTTAAGAAACTGACATTCATTTTATGGAAAGTCAAAAAGAAGTAACTTAAGGATCCCAAAGACTGAAAATCTAACATTAACAGCTAAAACGACCTTCAACAGTATCTTCATCTGGGGTGTCCTACAGCTGACTGAGTTTTTGTCAGAGCTGCATGACATCAGGAAAAAAACTGACCATGATTCAAAACAGTCAAACCTGTTTCTGAAACAATCTTTTGACAAGACAAACTAGCACTTAAGCCAACTGAACCAATGATTATCTAAGCTTTCTAGGAACTTAAAATACTTAGATATAAATATATTTTAAGTACTGCTCTGTTGCACTAACAGTAATACAGTTAAACACTGTAAAATTTTGACACTTTTCTGTAGGTATTTGCATAACCCTGCATGTCATGAGGCTGGCAAAGTGTGTCATCTTATAGCCTCAGGAATTATGTTAGTTTTCTCTTGGGATTCATCTACAAAATTCCCTCCCATCAGGGAAGTAGTAAGCCTGACAAGAAAACAAATCCCAATGAGCCACTTAAATAGCAGGGTTAATCATCCCTGTGCTAAAGACCAGGTAATATCAAGCATTTAAATATTCTTTGAAAATTAAAGTTAGACAACTGCCAACACAAATGCACTGCTAACTGTCACTGACATAATTATAGATAAATATACCCGAGGGCTTTGTTTAAGGAGGCCACTTGGCTGACAGATTTAATAACTTCACAGTGAATTCTTTATTAATATGGTTGCTATGTAACAATTAACTAAATATATTGCTTGTACAGTTTACACTGCACCTAAACATTTTAGAGCAGGTGTTCTATAGTGTTATATAGCAGGGCTGCAAGGTGGCGCAGTTGGTAGCACTGTTGCCTCGCAGCAAGAAGGTCGCCGGTTCCCAGTG